AGAGCCTTCAGTTTTCAGGCCCCTCTTCTGTGGAACCAGCTTCCAGTTTGGATTCAGGAGACAGACACTATCTCTACTTTCAAGATTAGGCTTCAAACTTTCCTTTTTGCTAAAGCATATAGTTGGGGCTGGACCAGGTGACCCTGAATCCTCCCTTAGTTATGCTGCAGTAGGTGTAGGCTGCCGGGGATTCCCATGATGCATTGAACGTTGCCCTCTCTCACTTGTAGAGTCTACCTTACAATATTAGCTCCTTGACGTCACTGTTGTTGTGATTTGATGCTATAAAAATAAAACTGAATTGAATTGAACTGAATTATAATATATAACCAATATATTGCTATAATATTATCATCACTTGGTGTCACAGTCACATGTATTTCCACATTATTACACTCAATCTCTGGTCTGTTAGAACTCAGTTATATGAATTTCAGTGTAATGTTACGCAGCTACATTCACTGTTCATACAGGCTTATTACTTGGCTGTTATTGAAATGTTACTCTGTGAGTAGGAATAACTCCTTGATTACCTTGTTTCTACCTTATTACACAATTATTAGCATATTATTACTGAGCTGGAATAGCAAGTGTTAGCCTCAGCATTTCAGTTTACAGCATGATTAAATGGAGAGACAGAATATCACCCAAACAAAACAAACAGATCACATCAAAGTTATAAATAGACGTGCTTGTCACTGCGTGAATTAAGTATTTGAGCAAATTATGTCGTAGTGCATATCTGGAGAAACCTTGTTGACACAGCAGCAGTTAGACATCTGTAGCTGGTCCCCAGGTTTGCACAGATCGCTCTCCTCTTTAAAGAAACTCTCTTAATCTTTCAGGTTTCTTGGCTGCCACCTGGAAACTAGAAGCTCCAGTTCACGCCACAAATGTTCTGTATGAATACTGAGGCCCGAAGACATCAATGTGCTTCTTCTGTAACCACTTGATTGTGGCCTTGGTGGTATGTTTTGTGTCACAGTATCCACCCACAAACACAAACTGTGTTCAGGCTGATGGAAGGAGGCTCCTGCCCAAGATGTGATGGTTTAATGTCCAGGTGAAGTTGCTTTAGCAGAAAACCAGCCCAAAGAATAAATTTTCCACCTCCGTGTCTGTGGGGTTGTTTGGTTTCATCTGAACTAAAAACCTCGGAATCATTACTGTTCACTGGAAACGTTAAAAAACGTGGCTTCTTCAGCAGAGAAATCCATGAAACGGTAAATGGCCTTTTTTATACAGCACGTGCTGAGCACTACAAGCATCATTCACCCATTTGACCGCCGGTATGCACATTCATTTAGGACCTTAGTGCTTTGGTTACAAAGGATCAAACTATTTCACTCAATGACATGCAAATCAATTTATAACATTTATGTGAGGATTTTTGGTTGATACTCTTCATTAAAATAAAACTACCATGAAAATGAAGAGACTGTTCATTTCTTTCTGTGATCGTTTGAGTTCAGAGAAGAAAACATCAAACTTGAGATTCAAACTTGTTCAGTATGTTTAGTAGATGCAGCTGTGGTGTCATTTTAACAATTCTATGGTGCCTTGTTGTCAAGTTACTGCGTTCAGGAATTTGGGTGCCCACGCTGCTCACTGGGGAAAAAAGTACATTTCACAGTGTGGCAGGGGCGTGGTCTGTGGCACTCAGCAGTCACAGTCTCCCCTTTTTCAGGAACGCAGCAGGAAAGCTGACTGATCCAACAAAGAAAAACACTGAAACTGGGGGTCAGGATCGCTTCACACAAGTGAACTTTTTCAACATATTAAAACACAACAGTGCCACAGGAAAAGGTTACACAAGACACGTTTATAGCAATTAGAAAAAGAGGTCAGCACAAAGGAAAAGGCAGTGAGGCTCTACTTCTATTACACATGTCAGAGTCAGGCTTGGTGCCAGTAATGTTGGGGGTTTAAAAGGTCTACAGTACACACAGCTGTATGGTTACATGATAACTTCAGAGTCTGTCATGACCAATGTTCCCTCTAAACTGTGCACATGCGCAATTGCGCACTGCTGGCACGTCTCTGCGCACAAAAAAAAATTGAACCTGAATTGAAATTAAAATTAATACTTTAACGATTCTGTTCTGCAGTGTTAGTCAGTGAGTGACTGGCTGCTCCTGTATGGGATCAGAACGATGCCACCTTATCCCACAGTCCAGCCAATGATGCGATTCACATTCGTATATATGCAGCTAATCAACGTCGCTGACAGGCTCTGACAGCGTCCTTATGTGCCGGTGTTTTAGCGAGCAAAGCGGCTGATGTGGAGTGAAGCCACGTCAATGACAACGTGTACAACCATTGGAGATGTGAGCAGGACAGACGGAACAACTGACGAGAAAAGTGTGGACTTTATACCAGTTTTTAAATTGTGTTGATCGGCCACGTAAAACCAGAGTTATGATAAAATATCTGCAGTGTTTGTTTTCTTCCTGAATACTGTCGTTGTTTATATTGTTTATTGTTTATATAAGAAGTAAGTATATAATTAACTGCCCAGCATTGGTCATTATTTACTGTATTTTGCAGACAGAGTTACAGACTCTCTCCCAGACCACAGACTCATAATACAAGTCAGAGCTTTATAAAAAAAAAA